ATTTTTAAAGAACAATTTTGAGAAATTCTTGAAAAATGATGAATTATGTGAGAAGAATTATGATTTGAGAAAATTTAAAACATTTTCTTCTACTTTCCACCAAACAAAATTTTATGAAAAACATGTTTATTACAACGGAAGAAAATTATTCAATAAATTACCAACTATTATTCAAAACTTAAAATTAAAAGAATACAAAAGAAAATTAAAACAAATCCTTACTGAAAATCCAATTTACTCTATTGAAGACTTCAACAAAAAATGCATAAAAATTTAAAGAGTTTTATTTAATACCATACCTAATTGTACTGTCGATACAATCTATATTGTCAAGACAATAAAGTATTTATTTATTTATTTATTTATTTATACTACCCGTAGTTCTAAACCATCCGATAATGTTACATTGCCGTCTAGCGACACTGTAGAGAAGGCTTGCAGCTTTGCTAACTCGAAAACCTCATCTAATATGCTACTGAGTACAGCAGTCATTGGAGTTAAAGATCATCATGGTAAACTGTTACCAATAAAGGCTCTTATAGATGGAGGATCTCAAACTAGCTTGATCACCGAGGAATGCGCCTCCAAGCTAAATCTAAAAAGATATTCTAACAATGTAAACCTCATTGGAGTAGCTGAAACATCCGTTCCCCTCAATAAAGGATTAGTTCATTGCGTTATCAGTCCACTCGAAAATGCCAGCATTGTTCTAACAACAGACGCAATTGTTGTCCCTAAAATATCGTCAGACCAACCGAACATCCCCATTGACTCATCAATACGCTCAAAGTTTCATCATTTAAAACTCGCAGACCCATCACTTGACGTATCATCCCCTATTGAATTCCTGATAGGAGCGGACTTGTATTTTGACATCCTTCAGGAGTCAAGCAACCTAATAAAAGGAGAACCGTCTGCGATAGCTACTATATTTGGTTGGGTATAGGAGGCAAAGTAATAGGAGGCAAAGTTATCAACGAAATTCCATTGAATGACCGGTCCTCAATGTTGATTTGTAACAACACTCTTGATGCTCATCTAACCAAATTCTGGGAGATAGAATCCGTCAACAATGTAATAAGACCTAATCCTGAAGATGATGCCACAGAAGAAAGCTTTATAAAAACTCACAGAAGAGACACTAATGGAAGATACATTGTGTCCCTCCCAACTAAGCCTGAAGCTCCATCACTCCCTGATACTAGGGATAGCGCCCAAAGACAGCTAGTGACTCTAGAGCAAAGACTAAAACGCAATCAAGAGACGTATGAAGAATATAAAAGCTTCATGGACGACTATATATCTCAGGGACATATGAGTCTTTGTTTAGAACCATCCAACCACATAATTCCTCACCATTGTGTTCGCAAAGAGGACAGTTCTACAACTAAACTAAGGACAGTATTCAACGCTTCATTCAAACCTAGTGGATCTAGTTCGTCCCTAAACGATATATTGTACAGAGGTCCAAAACTACAGAAGGATATCGCAGAGATAATAACCAATTTCCAAATGCGTTCTATCGTCGTTTGTGCAGATATCAAACAAATGTACAGAAACGTGCTAGTAACAGAAGAACATCGCAAACTACAGCACATATACTATCGAACTCATCGAGATGGTCCCATAGAAGAATACGAACTCAACGTCTTAACATATGGCGTAGCATCAAGTGCATTTTTAGCTCAAAGAGTTTTGCTACAGCTAGTACAAGACGAAGGCAAGAAGTATTCCCTAGCATCTAAAGCCATTATAAACCAAACTTTTGTAGATGACATCTGCGTCAGTGTTGACACTATTAACGAAGCTCTAACCTTGCAACAAGAACTTATAGACCTACTGAACCTAGGAGGGTTTTCGTTGCGCAAATGGGCTAGCAACTGTAAGGACGTACTAGCCACCGTACCTTTAGATCATCGAGAAAAGCCTCTAAGCATCAGTTCAGAAAATGAAAACTATATGAAAGTTTTAGGTTTGCAGTATAACCCGGATGACGATACATTCTCGTACATAATTCATCTCAACCCCCTAGTGTACACAAAACGCTCAATGTTAAGTGAGATGTCCAAAATCTACGACATTTTAGGTTGGATTACTCCGTGCACATTCTATGTGAAAAATCTTATGCAAAGCATTTGGTTGCTAGGATTAGGATGGGATGACGAACTTCCTACTGAGATCTGTAATAAATGGGAAACATTCATCTCTACTCTTCCAGAACTGTCTCACCTAAAGATTCCGAGACACATACCCATTGTTAATGCCACTAACATTCAGATCATAGGATTCTGCGATGCATCAGCGAAGGGATATGCCGCCAATTTGTATTTACGTACAGAACATACAGATGGAGTTTATATACATCTCCTAAAAGCAAAGAGCAAATTCGCCCCTTTAAAGATCATTAGCATTCCACGCCTCGAACTCTGTGCAGCACAACTTCTCGCTCACTTGTTAATATCAGTCAAGTCGTTGGTGGAAACCATTCAACCTCAAGATACGCTGCTGTTTACCGACTCCTCTGTAGTACTTTCTTGGTTAAAAATACCACCTTATAAGCTCAAAACCTTTGTTGCAAACATAGTAGTATACTTGACGAAACGAAACCAAGTCAATGGTGCCATGTTATCTCCAAAGAGAACCCCTGTGACATTGCAAGCAGAGGCTCTCTGCCTAATGATTTAGTAAACTCCGATCTATGGTGGAAAGGCCCTCAGTTTCTATATGGACCTATATCCAATCTCAAAGCACATACTAATCCAGAAATCAGCAATGATTTGCCCGAAATAAAACTCGAGAGCCTTATGATAACTCAACAATCTCCTAACATAGTATTGGACATATTAGAGAAATCGTCTGGTTTGTCCAAAGCTAAATTGGTTTTAAGTATTTTACTCCGCTTCATTCAAAACTTGAAGAACAGGATAACACAGCAACCATCATTAAAAGGTCATATAACACCAGAAGAACAAAACAATGCTCTCATACGATTTGTAAGATCTACCCAAGAATGTCACTTGTCAAAGGAAATAATAAATCTCCAAACTGGAAAACACGTGTCTCCCAAGTATCGACCTCTAGCCTTGTTTCTAGACGATGATGAACTTGTTAGGGTGGGGGGGCGCTTGAAAGATTCGCTTCTCCCTTATCCTGCAAAACATCCAGTTCTCATTCCCCAGTCTTCACGTCTCGCAACACTTATATGTGATCACTATCACATCCTCTCTTTACATGGAGGTCCACGGCTCACTCAGTCTTTGATTCAAAGGCAATTTTGGATAATAGGTATTCGTCAACTCCTGAGAGAGAGAATATTTAGATGCAACAAGTGCTACTTATTTCAGGCGAAACCACTCACGCCAAAAATGGCCAAAAATGGCAAGGCTCGAAAATGTGCGTGCATTCTTGAATGTTGGTGTTGATTATGCCGGACCCTTTGATTTTAAAGAAGGTTCAAGAAGAAAGGCTCCCATATCAAAAGGATACATTGTCATAATCGTTTGCTTAGCCACAAAAGCAGTTCATTTAGAGTTCGCTACTAGCCTATCAACTGCCTCATTTCTCGCTGCATTTGACCGATTTGTAGCGCGCAGAGGACTGTGCAAAACAATATACAGCGACTGTGGAACCAACTTCCAAGGTGCTTCGAACCACTACTTACGTGTTCAACAATTCCTCAAAGAAAATAATGAACATTTCACTCATCAGCTCAGCAAAAGGGAAATTAAGTGGATTTTCATCCCCCCTGCTGCACCCCACTTTGGAGGAATTTGGGAGGCTGCAGTTAAGTCAACCAAACGTCATCTCTCCAGAATCTTAGTAAATCTGAGTCTAACGTACGAAGAAATGTCTACACTTCTCTACCGCATCGAAGCCGTTCTCAACAGCCGTCCTCTTGGATCAATGACGACCGACCCCAACGATGGAGATTACCTCAGCCCAGGACACTTCTTAGTAGGTGCCCCACTCATCTCACCTCCAGAACATGACTACACCGATACGCCAATGAATAGGCTTACAAGATATGAGCTTCTTCAACAGGCTACACAAGCTTTCTGGAAGGCCTGGTCCAGAGATTACCTCCATACCCTGGATCCAGCTAAACAAATGGACAATCACTCAACCCAATATCAACATTGGTGATATCGTTTATCTTCAGTTGAAGAACACTAGTCCAATAGAATGGCCCATCGGTAGAGTTGAAGTTACTTACCCAGGAAAAGATGGAGTAGTGAGAGCAGCTAAAATAAAAACTGCTCAAGGCACATTCACAAGGCCAGTACACAAGCTGATATCCCTCCTGCCTCCTGACCATAACCTTTAAATTGATAAAAAAAACAACGGTGTATTTCGTTTTGCGTGTGTTGAACTAGAAAATTTTCGTGTTTGTGTGTTAAAGCTAAATATTTTATATTTTTTTCGTTTCAAAACTATTGTTTTGGGTGAGGGGAATGTTAGGGCCTAAACCTAAAAATATATTAATTCACCTATTGAATTTCCTTTTCATCCGTCCCAAAAATTGTGGTGCTACTAACTTGAATTTGCCGCCAAGAAACAGCTGATACTCGACGCTACCCCCTCCCTCAAGGACAGGACGAAGCCACTTGCACTCCTGAGTCCTGACTCCTGCAGTGACTGGCCACCCCCGCCAACACGCTAGTGCCTTCCGGCGCTATGATTTATTTGTCATTACCTATGTACTAAATATATGTTTTAATATACAAGTTTACGTAACAGTCTAGCCAGTATTTTATTTCCTCGGCATCTTCGCCCTCACGCTGACCCAGAACGAGACACCAGATCCACGCTCCACGCTGCTACCATGGAACCCCGCTCGTCTTGAAGACATCTGTAGAAGGTAGCACCACACTTTAGTAAATTAAAACATAATTAACACAACTGAATTTATTGAACTCACAAATCAGACTAAACTAAAAAGTAAACAAAACATAATAATGTAAACAGTCATCTGACAGATGTTATAAATAAAACATATGGACTTATTTCTTGATACATAACACTCCTCCCCCCGTTAGGTAGTCCTTCAGATATGCCGGTGGTCGACGGATACGAACAGGTCGAGGACTCATGCTCATTGAAGTGTTTTGGGAGTTTGATCTAGAGACACGTGACCGAACAGGTTGTGGACTCGTGCTCATGCTAGTGGAGTCTTGAATTAAACCAGAAACGTTGAAACCAGCATCTTCTTGATGAGGGTTAATTGAACCTTCTATACTACTAAAGGAATTGCGAGATTGTTGCATCACTGATGGTCGCATTGGTTGTACGTCTGGTGTTCTCATCATAATAGGATTGCGAACCATTGATGGTGGTTGCACTGGAGTGATATGATGTGCTTCTGGTGTTCTCATTTGAATAGGATTTTGGAGTAGTGGGTGGAATGGTGGGTTTACTGGAGATTCAGGATTATCCAAGTGTGAGTTAGTAGATGCTTTTGATGTTTCTGAGCGAGGTCTCAATTGGTCAATATGACGTCGTATTTCAATGCCTTCTTTTGTTATCAAATGGTAGCTCAGTGGCCCGGTTATTCTAGTGACTTTAGCAGGAATCCACTTTGGTCCTCGCTGATTATAGTTTCTTGCAAATACGGAGTCATTTTCTTTAAATTTCCTCTGAGGTGACTGTTGGTAATCGTGAAGCGCTTTATCCAAGATTTTCTCTTCTTTGTCACTTGAAGAATAATCTGGGTGAACTCTGTCTAAGATGGTTCTAATACGCCTTCCGAACAGCAGTTCACTCGGTGACATATTAGTAGAACAATTTGGCGTTATATGAGATGATATTAGGAACTGAGCCAATCTTTTTTGCCAATCTCCTTGAAGTATTCGTCGCAAAGAATTTTTTGTCGTTTGGACCATCCTTTCTGCCTGACCATTCGATGACGGATGGTATGGTGCAACCACGACGTGGCGGATGCCATTGCTTTCATTAAACGATCGAAATTCTTGTGAAGTGAAAGCCGACCCGTTATCAGATACTATTGTGTCTGGAACACCATGTGTTGCGAAAAGGCTTCTGAGGACCTTTATAGTTGATCTTGAATCTGTAGAAGGCACCAAAACTACTTCTAACCATTTGCTGAAAGAATCGACAACAATCAAAAACAACTTGTTTTGGAAGGGCCCAGCGAAATCTATGTGGAGACGAGACCAGGGTTGTTTCGTTTTCTCCCAGGGAAGAACTGTTGCTCTTGGAGGGTTGTGACGACTTTGTTGCCATGCTTGACAAGAATTCACTATGTTTTCTATGTCTTGATCAAGTTTTGGCCACCAGAAATAGCTTCGAGCCAACGCCTTTGTTCGAACAATGCCCTCATGTCCCATGTGTAGAAGCTTCAGAGCTTGTTGCCTGAGAGTGGATGGAATGATCACCCTAGTTCCCCAAAGTAAACATTGTTTGTATTGAAAAATTTAATTTTGACGAGAAATGAAAGGCGTAAGGTTGATATCTGAGTTATGAGTTGGTCAACAACGTTGAGTCCATAATAGTACTTTAGATAGAAGTGGATCCTTTTCTGTTTCTTTTGCTATTATATTAGCGGTGATTGGTTTAACCTCATCGGATTCAATGTATAGCACGTCATTCAAGACTTCATTTATCTCTTGATCAACAACATTGGAGGAACATGGAAGACGACTCAAACCATCAGCATTCGGAATAGAAATCCCCGGTTTGTATACAAGATCAAAGTCATATCCATTTAAAAGGATACTCCAGCGAATCATTCGAGGTGACAGTGTGTTTGGTGTTTGTTTATCCACAGTGAAAAGACCCAGAAGTGGCTTATGATCTGTTCTAATTTCAAAATGCCTCCCATATAAGTAATTGTGGAATTTTTTAACCCCTCCAATGATGGAAAGTGCTTCCCTATCTACTTGAGCATATCTTCGTTCTGACTGACTCATTGTCCTGGAATAAAACGCAATTGGAACTTCCTTTTCCCCTCGAACCTGACTAAGCACACAACCAATACCATAAGGAGATGCATCACAAGTTAGTATAAGATGGCTGGAGGGATTGTAATGAGCCAGTATACTATCGGAAGAAAGGAGCTTCTTTGAAGCATTGAAAGCAAGTTTATGTTTTTCCTCCCACCGCCATTTAACATTTTTGTCCAATAAGCGATGTAAAGGTTCTGCAACATTGGCTTTGTTGGGTAAAAAACAGTGATAGAAATTAAGTAAACCTAAAAATGCCTGCAGTTGTTCCTTGTTAGTCGGCTCAGGAGCATCTTGAATGGATTTGACTTTGTCCGGGTTAGGACGAATTCCGTCAGAGCTCACAACAAATCCCAAGAAGTCAACTGATGTAGATAACAAAGAACACTTTTCGCTTTGGAGTGTAATCCCTGCATCTCTAAAACGAGTGAATACTTGTCTTAATGTGGTAATCAATTCGTGTATTGTTCCTGCTTTAACCAAAATATCATCAAAGTAAGGGATTACATTGTCCAAGCCCGAAAGCAAACCCTCAATAAAATGTTGAAATATAGATGGAGCTGAGCTAATACCGAATTGTAGTCTTTTTGGTTTAAAAGCACCCTTGTGTGTAATTAGTGTCTGAGCTAGTGCCGACTTCTCGTCAACAACCAGTTGTTGATAAGCTTGGGCTAAATCTAACTTAGCAAAATATTTCCCTTGGTTTAAGTTTGCTAAGAGCTGAGAGATTGGTGGAATAGGGTACAGATGATCTTGGATAGCTTTGTTTAACGTTGCCTTATAATCACCGCAAATTCGTATTTTACCATTGCTTTTTACGGAAACAACAATTGGTGTGGCCCAATCCGATACCTGAACAGGTTCTAACACTCCCTGATTAACTAACTTATTCAGCTCTTCTTCTACTGGGGCCTGCAATGCATAAGGTAAAGGGCGCGCTCTTAAGTGAATTGGGTTATAATTCTGGTCAATTTTCAGTTCGATCGGAGGTCCTTTATAGCACCCTAAAGAATTTGAAAATACATCGGAAAATTCACTTTTCAGATGTTGAACATCCAGCTGAGCTTTATTAAGAACTTCAGATTCATGACAGTTGATTGAAAGTACTCCGTTTACTTCAATGTTAAGACTTTTTAGCCAATTACGCCCCAATAAACTATTTCTATTACCTTCAGTTATGACTAACGGAAGGAAACCATTGAACTTACCGTATTTCACATAAACATTAGTCTGACCTAAAACACTTACAGGTTTACCACTGTAATCCTTGAGTTTCCAAGGAGAAGGTTGTAGTTTACAGTTTTTATGAGAAATTGTATTCCATAGTTCTCCTCCTATGATAGAAACACCTGCACCAGTATCAACTTCCATTAGAACTTTGTTATTATTTATGTTGACAGTGGTATACAGTTCCGGTACTTTAGTGCAGTTAACTTCCTGGACGTATTGAGTTGTTTCGTTATTTGATTGAGGTGGAAACGTTTCTTCTTGTTCATAATTGGTTTCCTCTGACAAAACTTCATGAGCCCGCTGTCCCTTTGATCCGTGTTTTTGGCTAAAATATTCTTTGGGGCGTGGTTTCCCTCCTTTACAAACTCGTGCTAGATGCCCAATTTTCTTGCAAATATTACAAGTAGTCTGAAGATGGGGACAATCCCTTCTAAAATGTCTTAGTCCACAACCAAGACAAACATTAGGTGTAACAGAGTGAGCTGGATTGTTGTTAAATGCAACAAATTTCCTGTTTGAATGGTCAATTTTATGTGCATTAGCAAAACTTGAGCTACTGAAAGAAAGTTCCTTACTTTGAGTTTGAAATAATTCATTTGACTTAGCTGCAATAACAACATCCTGAAGTTTAATAGTAGGTTCTTTCAAAATTTTATTCCTTAACTCATCACTTCTAGATCCAATCAAAATTTGCATAATTAATTCCCTATCCAAGTCTTTGAATTCACAGTTCACAGCTAATGTTCTTAGTCGAGAATAGAAAGAGTTAAACGACTCTGATTCTGCTTGATGACACTTCCTAAAATTAAATATTTCAAAAAGGACATTTTTGGTAGGAGCGAAATAGTCAGTTAATAGTTTTATAACATTTTTGTACGTTATTTCATTAGGTTGTGGTAAACTGTCAAAAATGTAAGCCACTTCCTCACCAGCTAGATTAAGTACTAGTGCAGTTTTCCTTACATCACTGGTAATGTCTGCAGCTAAAGCATACCTCTCAAATTGCTTAATCCATGTACCCCAACGCTGTGCGACACTTGCAGGATTTGTATGGGGGTCAAAACGATCAGGCTTATTGAGATCCATTATCCAATTATCCTCGTCGCCAGTTTAGTAAATTAAAACATAATTAACACAACTGAATTTATTGAACTCACAAATCAGACTAAACTAAAAAGTAAACAAAACATAATAATGTAAACAGTCATCTGACAGATGTTATAAATAAAACATATGGACTTATTTCTTGATACATAACACACACCACACCTATTTTACTAAATAAGTTTTAATTCCACCCCCAACAAATGCTTTAATAGCTCGTTTGCAATATGCTGTCGTTTGAATTAGTTTATCTAGAGACGAGAACTTTGTACAATCAATATCAAAAGGACTTCCTTTACTTGTGGTTTCTTGAATTGCAGCCATAACTTCTTGGTTAGGTGTGGGTAGTTCACAAGTGTTCGATGTGTCTTGGTAAGTTTGTTCTGACATTGAAGTGATTTGATTAAAGTCATTTCGTGGCCATTCATTTTCCGGTGAACGTAGAAATTCTGGGCCTGACCACCATACCTGACTCTCCTGTAACTCATGATTAGTCAATCCGCGAGTCCCAAATCTGTAGGATTGTTACTAGAAGGTACGTAACGAAATTCTACATCGGTATGTGATTTAATTTCCGAGAGTCTTCGTTCAACGAACTTTGGTAGTATCCTATTTGTATTCAACCAATGGAGAACACATTGTGAGTCTGTCCAAAGTATTTTTCGTGTCACAGAAGTCTTCAGCGCAGTTTCAGTAAACTTCAATGATCTCACCCCAATTAAAACACCAAGTAATTCCAATCGTGGTATAGTGATGTTTGGCTTAGACTTAGGGGTTACATGACATTTAGAGAAAATAAGTATTGATTTTGTCGTGGATGTATTATTACCACTGAGCTATAATTCTAACTGGAGGTAGCACTGAATGTCAACGATGCGTGTCGCCAGCCGCCATGTTTGCGTGAGGTGTGAGTTATAAATAAGCCATTTTATTGGATGAAAAAACTCACTGCTATGCAAACCTAGTTATAGAAGCCATGTTATTGGATGAAAAAACCTGCTGCTATACCAACCTAACAAAATCAGCGACACGCTTTTGACCATGACAGACTTCTGCCATGGCAGTGCTACCTCCAGTTATAATTTTAGCTCAGTGATTATTACTCTTTAATCGCAAATAAACAGCTGTAGCGTAACAATCTTTAGATGCATCAGTGAAACAATGTAACTCTAAAGTATCACCAATGATTCCAACATATCTTGGAATACATACCTCAGGAATTTTAAGTTGGTTTGATTGAATCTGCATCCATACCTTTGTAAGTTCTAACTCTGCTCGTGTCATAGTAACTAATAAATTAAACAGGACACATGAGAATGCAAAATCAACCTCCCACTCAGTTAATATACATAAGAAGGAGGCATTAGCTCTAATTAGTATCAAAGAGAAGCTATGTTTAAACAACGCCTTGTTATGCAAAGCAGATAGGGCAATACAGCAGTATTAATGTACATAGATGATTATAATACCAAAGTAAATGATTTTATTCAAAGTAATGGTGTAATAGAATTGAAAAAAGATCCTACTAACAATTATCAAAAGACAATAAGGAAGCTTATAAACAATAGCAAAGTTCTTTTCAGCGAGGAGGAAATAAAACGCCTTCGTGTAATGAACCCCAACGCACCAATGTTACGAGGGTTGCCTAAAGTGCATAAGGAAGGCACCCCAATAAGACCACTGGTCGATTACACGTCAGCCCCGACATACAAACTCGCTCAGAAACTTGAATATATATTAAGCCGACAAATAATTCTACATAATAGTTACAGCCTTATCAACACCTATGATTTTATTAACAAAGTCAAAAATGTACAGGTAAACCCCCATGATATATTGGTTTCGTTTGACATTGTCAATATCTTTACTAATGTTCCTGTTGACCAAACTCTAGACATAATCAAAGACCACCTGAACAAAGATTCGAATTTACTACCTGAAGCAATTACCGAACTACTAACTTTGTTAAAAGAGGCACTCACACAAAATTATTTCAAATTCAATGATAAATATTACAGTCAACCAAATGGCCTGGCAATGGGCTCTCCTTTATCAAGTTTACTCGCCAACGCATATCTGAATCATATTGAAAATACATATATATTTTCAGACCTAAACGAACAAAAAAACAAGATAATGGAATATCACCGTTATGTTGATGACACCATTCTTATTTTCAAGGGTAACACAAGACAGCTCGACCTTCTACACAAGTTCCTCAACAATATAACGCCTAATTTGAAATTTACTATGGAAACTGAACAATCAAATAAAATAAATTTCCTGGATATCACAATGGAAAAGATAGATAGCAGATTAGATTTTAGCATATATAGAAAACCTACCACGTCAAACCAAACCATTCACAGCACGTCTTACCACCCCGTATCACATAAACTGGCCGCCTACAATAGCATGGTATATCGCCTATTACATGTCCCAATGACAGAGCAGAACTACAATAGAGAACTGAAAATCATCCATCAAATAGCCGTAACTAATGGGTATGATATTCAAATGGTCAACAACTTGGTAAAGAAATACAAAAATAAACAAAATCAAAATCAGAACCTAACCCCCCAAAACAAAAAATTCGTCTGCGTAGATTATTCTCACCACCTACAGCACAGCCTAAAGAATGAGTTGGAAAAACATGGGATCAAACTAGCTTTCAGAACTAGCAAAAAAGTTATTAATAAGTTAAAACCTAAGATAAATAAAAATAAAGCTGACCAATCAGGTGTATATAAAATAAAATGCGCTAGTTGCCCGAGTACATACATTGGAAAAACAGGACGTTCCTTTGGCATTAGGTACAAAGAACATCGCCCTAACGGAAAAACTGACAAACAAAAATCCACGTTCGCACAACACCTGGTTGATAACAATCACGACAACAAACATACACACAAACTCACAAACTTTCAGATTTATAATATTAGTAAGATATATACGTCCGTGAACGCGATAAAAATAAAATAAATAAAAATTAATTAATTAAATAAAAATTAAATTCCTGACTTTGCTACCAAACTGAATAATTGCTGGTTCAATAGATATTTGTTAATATAGTAGAAATCAAGTTTATTGATCTGTCTTAACAGTGAGTTACTATTGGAAAAATAATAAATCCATTGAGTTAAGAAAATACTATAATGATACAAAATTAAATTAACCCTTTACAATAAAAATATTAAAAACAAAACTATTCTCTTGATGAGGTATTTAAGTCCAAATTGAAATAGACAGAGAGGAATGATGTGTAGAGATGTACTCACGACCTCGAAGAGAAGAAATTATCGAATGTTCGTTAATACCAAGTAATGGAGATTAACACTTCTTGAGAAAATAAAATATAACACTGTGTGCACACAAACTTCTGGTGAATGTTCCTCACGGTTAAATAAAACTTCTGTAGAAACAATAGAGTCAATAATTGATTATTTAATATGGGATACTGAGACCCATGGTAAAATAATTAGAGGGATTCAGAGACCCTCATAATGTTTGATTCACATGAAGACTGCATAGTAACTGAGTGAGTAGGAGCAGTGTACAGGAAAAACCACTGGTCAGTCTATATCATGTCGGCTGGAACTGATAAGCAGGATACGCAGCACATTCCTCTGCATTGTCTGCCTATCTCTCTCTCTCTCTCTCTCTGTCTGGCTTAACTTAATACAATTTTATTTTATGAACTCACTTAAAATATTATTCTGAATTGAACCAAAAAGTGCAGTGATTTATTTACACACAAAACATTTAAATATCTATTATTTAAATGACAAAACAAGTATTATTTTAAAATAAATTTAAGTTTAGACCTAACTTGAGAATGCTCAAACATACCGCCCACCGAAATTTTAAAGGAAATTCCTAGCATCTTACTTAAAAGGGTCAGAATTGATTGAAAGAAGAGGTACCAATTTCACAGCTGGACGTTGGAATTCAGAGTCACTGGTCTTGACAGTCATCACTCGAACAATTCCATCACTGCCTGGGTGAGTCTTGATGATTCTTCCAAGAGGCCACTGCAAGATAGGTACATTTTGATCCTTAAGAAGAACCAAGTCTCCGATTTTAGGGTTTGTAGAAGATCTTGTCCATTTTCCTCTTGCTTGCAGGATGTTCAAGTATTCCACTCGCCACCTCTTCCAAAAATGTTGAACCATCTTGTGGACTAGTTGCCATCTTGTAAGGACGTTTTCTCGAAGATCAAGAAGAGAAGGTTCGGGAGGAGCAACAAGAGGGCATCCAACAAGAAAGTGTCCTGGAGAAAGAAAATTAGTTTCTTCTGGACTAGCTGACAAAGGACAAAGTGGTCTTGAATTCAGAACTGCTTCTACTCGGGTGAGCAAGGTTGACCACTCTTCATAAGTCAAAGCAGTTTCTCCAGCTATCTTCCTCAAATGTGTCTTTGCTGATTTCACTGCGGACTCCCACAGTCCACCAAAGTGTGGGGAGGAGGGAGGATTGAAATTACATTTTTCATCCAGTTTAGTAGTTTGCTGTAGAATTTCTTCTTGTGTAGTCTGATTGGAGTACCATATTCCCAGCTCTCGAAGACGATTAGCTGCTCCTCTGAAGTTGGTTCTACAGTCGGAATACACTTGTTCAGGAAGACCTCTTCTAGAAATAAACCGTCTGAAAGCAGCCATAAAGGCATCTGTTGAGAGTGCGGTTACCAGCTCTAAATGCAAAGTTTTAGTAGCCATGCAGACAAAAACACAGATGTAAGTCTTGGCAGTGGTTGCTTTTCTTCTTAACGACTCTCTCATAGTCAAAGGTCCAGCAAAGTCAACACTAACATGTAAAAATGCTCGGCTTACATTCACTCGTGGCGAAGGAAGATCGGGGAAAAGGTTTCAGCCTTTAGCTTGAAGCACCTTAGACATTTGAAGGTTCGCTGACGGGCAATATTTCTCAGTGATGGTATCCAAAATCGTAATTGAATCAGAGCTTGAAGCAAGTTGGGTCCTGGGTGTAGGTAGATTTTATGGTAATAATCTACCAACAATAAGGTGAAATGACACTTTGGCAGAAGGATTGGGTGTCTTTGATCTTCTGGGATAGCTGCATTATTTAGCCTGCCGCCCACCCTGAGAATCCCCAATTTGTCAAAGAAAGGGGTAAGTTTTTGAAACTTATTGAGGACAGCAGTTGCACATCTTCTGTCGCCATCAATAGAGAAAAAGTGTGATTGAATTTTCTTGATGCAGAATAGTAAGGAATCTTGAATTTCCTTAGGCTGAAGGGGTCCTTTAAGACGACTAGTACTGTGTAGTTCAACTGGACAGTTGTAGATAAATCTTCTGATCCAAGATATTACACGTAAAAGTTTGTAGTATGAAGAATAGTTTTCCATAATCTTGATAAGCTCTGGCTCAGTACTATTTGAGACAAGCACTTGTGGTTCAGCTTTCACTTCAGGTAGGGGCTGCTGCTGGAACTGTACTGTAGACTCTGGCCATTTATCTTCAGGCATATTCATCCACTTAGGGCCATGCCACCATAGATCACAGTTAGTTAGTTTATCTGGTAAAAGTCCTCTAGAACCATGGTCACTAGGATTTTCCTCTGATGTAATGTGTCTCCACGATGAAACAGGAGTATGTTCCAAGATATGTGCAACCCTGTTTGCTACAAAAACTTTAAGCTTGTAAGTTGGTGTATTCAGCCATCCTAAGACAATTGAAGAATCAGTGAAGAAAATAGGCTTCTGAAACTGATTACTGGCAAATTGGCTGAGGGTTTCCATAACAGAGTGGAACATTGTTGCAAGCAGGTAGGCTCCACACAACTCTAAGCGTGGGATAGACAATGTCTTGATTGGGGCTAACTTAGTTTTGGCTGTTAGAAGGTTTGTAGTTATTTTGTCACTAATAACTCTCAGATACAGTGCAGCACAATATCCTTTTTCGGAAGCATCAGCAAATCCTACTATTTGCAAGTTGTATGGTTTGTCAGATGTTACAAATCTTGGAATACTAAGATGTTGCAGTTTCTCTAGCTGAGTAGTCAAATCATTCCATAGAGTCTTCAAGTTAGTTGGGATTTCAGAATCCCAGTCCAGCTTCAATTTCCATAGGCTTTGTATTATGCTCTTTGCAATCATTATCACAGGAGAAACGAATCCTAGAGGATCAAAAATCTTTGCCACAGCTGATAGGATGGCCCTTTTAGTAAACACAGGGGTAAATTGTTCAATCTGGTATGCTAACGTGTCGCTTGAAGGGTTCCATTGAAGTCCTAGGATCTTGACATTTGAATCTTCACTAGATGAGAGGTTGATCTGTGTGATATGTTTTGAAGGATCGATTGCATTTAAAATTTCCTGAGAGTTACTGGCCCATTTACTTAGACCAAAATGACCTTTGTGTAAAAGATTGATTACTTCATCCTTGAGTTTCAAGGCTTCATGAACAGTAGAAGCACCAGTGACAAGATCGTCGACATACATGTCTTGAAGAATAGCCTTTGCTGCATGTGGATAGTCAGTCCCTTCATCGGTTGCTAGCTGTTTCATGACTCTCAAGGCTAAAAAAGGTGCAGAGGTAGTACCATACGTTACTGTATTCAGTTCATATTTCTGAATAGCTTCAGAAGGATCAAATCTCCAGAAAATGTGTTGATATACCCTATCAGAGGGATGAACTAAAATCTGCCTGTACATTTTTATTATATCAGCCACAAAAACTACTGGATACATCCTAAATCTTGTCAAGAAACTTTTGATGTCTTGCTGTAACTTTGGGCCTATCATAAGATGGTTGTTTAGAGACGTGTTGGAGTCAGTAAGGGAAGAAGCATCAAATACTACTCTGTGCTTAATCTGTGAGCGATCTTCTTTAGTAACAGCATGGTGCGGGACTGCGGGATCACATATTTTGAAGTAGATGATGTGGGGCTCATGTGTTCCAGTTCAAGGTATTCTTTCATGAAATTGCAGTATTCAGACTTAAGTAGAGAATTCTTGGTCAGTTTTGTTTCTAGACTGTATAGTCTTTTCAGAGAATTTCTTTCAGATGAGTCACCAAGATGCTTTGGCTCACTTTTAAACGGTAGGCGAACAACGTACTGGCCGCTCTCAAGTCTGTAGTGAGTCTCTGTAAAATGCTTTTCACAAGCTAAATCTTCTGGGTTTTCTTGGACTGGGATAGAAGCAGGTTTCTCGAGTTCCCAAAATTGTTGCAGCTGATTATGAATATCATCTTTATCATAAGCAAGGGTGAAGAAAGAAGCATTCATATTAGCGGATGATTGACAGTCAAGAACTCTCCCAATAGCAATGTAGCCAAAGACTGATGCAAACAGCTTGGGTTGGTTTTCATGAAGAGTAATCAAAGATCCAAGCCAAACATCTGGAAACAAGTCAGAGCCCAATAAAAACTCAATAGGTCCAGGTTCCCAAAACTTAGGGTCTGATAGTTCAAATTTGGCATATTCCGACCATAAGTTAGAAGGCATAGTGAAGTTGGGTCGATAAGAAGTAATATTGTTGATCACAACAGCTTCTGTTTTGAGGATAGGGGTTTCCTGATTTTTTGGCTTCAGATGACAAAGTGCCTTGCCTTTTGCAGCATTAAATGGTCTGGCCAATAGCCGATATCTTCTTTGGACATGGAGTTGTCGATAAACCAAGTTTGGTGAGGCATTTGTGAGTTATGAAGGAATGTTGACTTCCTGAGTCTATAACTAAACGTATGGGTTGAAATCTTCCTGAAGCATCTTTTATCTCAGCAACAACAGTACCCAGCAATATGTTGCTATGTTGAGGAAGAGTCGCGGTCAAAGACGAAGTTGGTGCACTTGTAGCATTATCTTTCGGTTCTTCATCAGCTGAGGTTGGAATATGTAGTAACGAGTGGTGTCTCTTGCAAAATTTACAAGTCCACTTTGAGTTACACTTTCCTATAATGTGGTTGGCATACAAGCAATTTTTACATCCATGCCAATTTCTTAACATCTTGTGTCGCTCATCAACTGTTGCATTCATAAAATCTTTACATCTCCAGAGTGTATGACTACCACTGTTGCATAGAAAGCATGTGGAACCTTTATTGTTATCTTTCGATTGCATGTTATTTCCTGGTGAGTTGGCCAAGAGTGTAGCTCGCATACCACGGCTAGAAGATCTAGTATTATATCCTTTAATAGCGCCACTAGGATTTGCAGAGTTATAGTCAAGTGAGGATTGATGAGAATTTCCAAGGGCGAGCTGTAATGCTAGGCATCGTTCCCGTAGAAACTTCGTAAGATCATCAAAGACAGGAAAATTTTTATCTTTGTGTTGAAGTTCAAATTGTTCTCTGGTCGCAGAATCTAATAATCGAACAGCAATATGAAACAATACAAAATCTGCTTCATTTGGAATTTTTAGCAGTTTAAATGCTGCAATATTGTCTAAAACTTGTGATACAAAATTCTGTAGAGAATCAATGGTAGGCTTGCCTTGCTGTGGCTTAAACTGGATGAGCTGATTTAAATAGTTAGAGGCTAGCATACGTTTATTATTAAACGTGTCATTCAATGCCTTCCATGCCAAGTCATAATTGTCTTCTATTAATGGCAAGTTACTTATAACTGCAGAAGCTGTGCCTACAAGTGAGGAAACCAGGTAATAGAATTTCTCCATTTTAGTCAACAAAGCATCATTATGAATAATTGATAAGAATGCATCACGGAATTTAGGCCAATTTGTAATTTTTCCATTGAAGTGGGGCAGATTGATCCGAGGTAAAATTTTATTTGATCTGTTCTCAGATGATATAACTGATTGATTAGGATTAATGCTTTGGCGTGAGGGAGTTGATGTTGTCTGAACAAGAGCCATAAGTGCCTCATAGCTTGTGTGTGCCTCGTAGTAATAACGTTTGGCCTTAGTTTGCATAGTCAGATCTGCTTCGACAGGAAATTCTGAGACTTTTCCTTCATCTTCATGTAGGTCAATAAGTTCATCCCAGTACGTTTCAAATTTGGAAAAATATTTCTCTAACACCTTAAACATACCCTTGAATAAGTTCACTTGAGCAGGATCTTTGAGAGCTGCCCTACCCTTCTCATTAATAGTTTGGACTTCCTTAGCACTATCTGATAATTTTCTCTTCAAGGCAGAAACCTTACGCTTAAAATCTTCTGCATCCATTTCTCCCCGCAGAAATTGAATACCAAGAGAAAATTTAAATAATCAAAGGCACAAGAATGTTTGAGCAATCTTTACACAAGTATGAACATGACAAGTGCTATATACTTCAAGATAGTAAAAAAAATCAACAAAGAATAATGAATACCATTAATTCATAATGAAAATATATCAAAAAATTTCACATCATGATTTGCAAAATTGTATATAATATTACAGTAGCACATAGAACAAGATTGTAGAATATAAATCAGCAATATGTATTTGTGTTAAGAAACCATTCGGCAGAAGAAAATATTTTCAGATTAAATTCTCAAAACAACCCTAATAACTCTTAAAAATATTAATAAATCACAAATCAAATACTGGAGAAATGTATGAGCGTTTTACGATTAAATATCTAATTTAATCTAAGACAAAAAAAATACCAAATATTTTATATGATAACTATCTTTAAACAAACAAATTTTCAACTGTAATCTACAATAACCTTCAAATACAACTAACCTTACTTTGACAATTTAAAAAATGACCTTCAATATGTTCCTTAAAAAGGATATTTTAATTTATTTTTTTTCCAACTAATGACTAAGTTAATCCGGCTCGAAGGACCAATATGTTTGAACAAAGGGGAATTTAAAATTAAATTCCTGACTTTGCTACCAAACTGAATAATTGCTGGTTCAATAGATATTTGTTAATATAGTAGAAATCAAGTTTATTGATCTGTCTTAACAGTGAGTTACTATTGGAAAAATAATAAATCCATTGAGTTAAGAAAATACTATAATGATACAAAATTAAATTAACCCTTTACAATAAAAATATTAAAATCAAAACTATTCTCTTGATGAGGTATTTAAGTCCAAATTGAAATAGACAGAGAGGAATGATGTGTAGAGATGTACACACGACCTCGAAGAGAAGAAATTATCGAATGTTCGTTAATACCAAGTAATGGAGATTAACACTTCTTGAGAAAATAAAATATAACACTGTGTGCACACAAACTTCTGGTGAATGTTCCTCACGGTTAAATAAAACTTCTGTAGAAACAATAGAGTCAATAATTGATTATTTAATATGGGATACTGAGACCCATGGTAAAATAATTAGAGGGATTCAGAGACCCTCATAATGTTTGATTCACATGAAGACTGCATAGTAACTGAGTGAGTAGGAGCAGTGTACAGGAAAAACCACTGGTCAGTCTATATCATGTCGGCTGGAACTGATAAGCAGGATACGCAGCACATTCCTCTGCATTGTCTGCCTATCTCTCTCTCTCTCTCTCTCTGTCTGGCTTAACTTAATACAATTTTATTTTATGAACTCACTTAAAATATTATTCTGAATTGAACCAAAAAGTGCAGTGATTTATTTACACACAAAACATTTAAATATCTATTATTTAAATGACAAAACAAGTATTATTTTATTTAAAATGAAATTAAGTTTAGACCTAATTTGAGAATGCTCAAACAACTTGAGTAATTGTTGTCCGATTTTGATGAAATTTGGTTTAAAGGTGTAAAGCGATAAACTTGAATGAGTTCGCGAACCAGCATAATCGGACAATGGGAACGGGGCTTTACGGGGGGTTTTATAGGGTAAAAATTGGTTTTTCTCATTTTTGACCCTCAAAACACAAAATTTCCCAATTTCTCTTTAGACCTTTTTAAAGAGCTTAAAAAAACAATTAATTTAGTATATAAAAGTATTTTTGTTCGGTTAATAGTAACGGAGAAAATTAACAAAATTGTAAATTTAAAATTCCCATGTTATTCTTATGGAGAATATTGTAAAATGTTGTAGTTTGCTTGTCTATGGATATATTTTGTATTTTGATCAAATTTATTTATTTTGTACTAAGCTATCAATATTTTACAAAAAAACACACTTTATTAGTTTCCTTGTAGCAGCAAACCTAGGTACTCGTTAAACCTAATGTTATTAACATATATTTAATTGAAAATCAATTAAGACAAATGGAAATTCGCTTAGTCGGCAGGTTTGCTGCGGCGGGGGTATTTCTTTCACATACAGTAAATCAAATTTTGGAATGCCTGCCATTTTGGCTAGGGGTCAGATATCCACCTCGGGTTTGCTTCATTGTGTTTCTTTTGACAAATGCTTCAAAATGAGGGGTCACTATTTGAAAAAAAATGAGTCACCCCCTACCTACTACCATGTTAGGGGGGTTATAGTCCGTGAGGTTGGCGAAGGACTCTGAGGGATTAGCGTCCCTTCCACCAACGCACGCGCACTCCCAAGCAGAGCCCTACCTACCCCATGGGGCTGTACCGAAACTGCCACGACGTTTTATGATCATAATCCATACCGAAACTGCCACGCCATTTAGTGAGGATTATAAGGGTGTTTTTGAGAATGCTAGAAACACTGAAACTGCCACGGCGGATTCCTCAGGAAGGGGAGGTTGGTTTGGCAACGTGCAGGGAGAAACGGGAATGAGAATATCCCTCACTCATCACAGTGACGATTTTGAAACACAACACTTTACTTAGCTCATAACTTAGTTAAATGCTTTTCATGCCACTACTTAAAAGAGGCCATACTAACTTTGCAGTTATTTAAATCAAGTATCAATAGAAAAAGTCATTTAACTACCGATGAAGTCAGAAATAATTAAATAATATGTTCTAATGGATTAAGATTGCAATGGAATGTAAAATGTTTCTTACTAAATGTATTATATGAATGCTCTTAACCCGTTATAGTGAATTGCTGGTATTAAAGAAATCGATAAACACATATTTTATCATTAGATTTGAAGTTTTCAGTTTATAAATATACCAAGGTATAGGTAGGCATCGTCAAAATTGCACAAGAAGAAACATAATCTAATGCAAATAATAGCACAACAGGATACGTGTCCTGAAGTATAAATAAAACACAATTGTGTATATATTGATCATATTTGGCGATTTTATTGATTTCATCCTATACTATTAATATTTTGATTTTTTGGGCTGCGGTGGAGGTAATGTATTTAGAAATGAGCTGGGAATACTATGAAAACATGCTTTTCAGCAATGAGTTGGAAATACTGCGCGCACTGCGTTCCAATTGTCTTAGGAATTGGCGTCGAAGTATAAGATCCTTTGTGATGACTAGAATACACAGAATTAAGTTCAAGTCTTTCCAGTTTATTATGTTTATACTGTACCAACCTCCATGGTCTGCAGAGGGGCGTTCTCGTGGAATCTCAGTGGAATGCCCTCCTATTAGCTTGATGTAATATTTTTCAAATTCGGTATTTCTCAACAGTTTTGTGCCATCCTTCAGAGAGTTAGTAGTAAGGTAT